AGTGATGAAATAGGTTACTTTGTGATGTTTATATTACTATAATCAAGTCTTTTTCTACTTCATTCATTATGATCAAGTACAGATGAGGGTGTTCTTTTATTGGCACAATTAGAGAAAATAAGAGCTTGAGCTCTTAATCAGCATCCATTCTTTTTGGTTTATAAATTCAAATTTAGGAGTTTTAAGTTAAATTTTTTTTCTAAAAGGAAATTTACATTATCCTGCAGTTCTCAATCCAAATTTTTAAAAAACAGACTAAGAGACGTATCTAAATTATTCTTAATTTATGGGATAATGCCAAAAGATATTTTTTAAATAATGATTAAACTCCTTAAAAAATACTTAATTTTTTAGAAATTTTAATATACATAATAATTATAAGAATCACATAATAATTTCATGTATCTTAAGAGTCATGTTAATCTCAATTATTATTTCTAAATGTATTCTTAAAGTTTACATAACAAATTAAGTTATATACTATTAATATTTATTTTAAATTTTTGTATATTAATGATTTGAATTAGAAAGTTTATGTAAATCCCTTTTAATCTATTAGCCCAAAATAATATCTAAAGCCCAGCAGGGAACAGAGAAAAAGCCTGACCCATCTTATTCAAACGCTCGAACGACATCGTTTTAATACAACCGCAAAAAACGACATCGTTTTTATTATTGTTACCCTATAAATACCCAACACTTCGTCTTCCCCGCGCCACTTCATCCTCTGCGTAATATCATCCGATTTTCTCGACTCTCTGCCGCTTCCATTCTCATCTTTTCATACCTTTTGCGCCAGTAATATCCTCCGAGAATCTGTTAAAACAAAAATGAGGAAGAAAAATCTGTAAGTGATTTCATCCCTTTGGACTTCTTTTTCCGGTTATTGTTTTCTTGGAGTCGAAGGAGAACAGCGGAGGAGAATGTCTTCTTCAATTTCTCTTCTTTCACGTTCTGCAACATTCTCACCTCTGAAACGGGGTCGTGGGACTCACCAGAGAGTCCGACCCAGTTTTAGTCTCGGACCAAGAATTGGTCACGGCTTGGCTTTCTTCTTCTCTGCCGATAACCAGGCTCTCGGCAGCCCGGGTCAATTTCTCCCAGTTGACCAAGAACGAGAGAGAATCACCGATCAAGATTTCTGATTTCGACCGGCCTTCGGAAGGATTCAATCTGAAATCCGGGAATTTCGCCAGTTTTTGTAGTCGAACGATATGGGAATCTTGATTCTGTTCTTGAGTAGCTCGAGGTTGGAGAATCCGAAAGACATGATTCTCGCTGTTGATATTTACGTCTCTCCTTTTCTAAGGAGACCATGGACGTGGGGTTTCATACAAGGTTCCTTACCTTACGATTTTTTCTTCTCCCTTCTGCGATTTATTTTCTTAAGAAGAAACATTGAGTCTTTCTTTCATGAGAAGAAGATTAGTTTTATTTAATTTGATTTAACGTTTATAACGTCTTTTTCCTGCAAGAACTTCCAAAGAGTTCTTGATTTTCTATTCCTTTATGATTTATGCCCTAAAGTAGTAATAGTTTCAAGCTTCCAATTGCCCTAATATCTAATCTGTTATGCCTTTATCTTTACAGCAGCTCTGGTTCATTCTTCATATCTGACTCCTCCCAACCTGCCGCCGTTAAAAGACTGATCAGAGAAAGAACACTGAGGCAGCGGCCGTTGGCAACCAAGGCTGTAAAGCCCACCATTACTGTGAGTATTATCATCTCACTCCCTGAGTGTATGTTCGTTTGTATCGTAAGACAGTTTTCAATTTACAATTTTCATTTTTGCTTAAGGTTATTGGGTCTAGTTTAGCATTAAAATAATCATTTTTTAATTGCCCCATTCAGGACAAAACTCGAACTGTTAGTGTTCTTGATCGAAAAACGAAATGTCAAATGATTAGAGAATCTCGGGACTATTCTTTCCTGTTCGGCCTGGATTCTGAACTTCCTGCACCACCTGCAAAAAGGCCTAAAGTTGGTAAAGTTCGCTGCGAATTAAGTTACTTTGTGACTCTTTATATATAAGAATGCATCTGCTTTACTGTTCTTACGGTTTGTTCTCTAACAGCTTAAAATACTTTCTTTTTGGTACTTCATTCAGGTGATAATTTGTCTAAACAAGTACATACAAGCATTGAGCCCAAGTACATACATGCCATAAAAGATTCTGGTGTACACGATACTTTCAAGAAGAACTCAGCACCAAAGAATCAACCACCGTCGTTGAAAGATCTTCATGGCTCTCACGGGCACAAACCATCCATCCCAAGGCCAGCAGTTGCAAATAAGAATTTGGGACAAGAAGAATTTTATGGTGAATCGAATAAATTGAAAGCAATGGAAAATCAGTTGCAACAAGCAGTTGCAAATAAGAATTTTGGACAAGAAGAAGTTTATGCTGAATTGAATAAACTAAAAGCAGTGCAAAATCAGTTGCAGTCATCTTCAAGACACCGTGCTCCAGATGAAAAGAAAGCTTCTTTTTCATACTCACAACCTGGAGCGGAGCCTCAACTGGAGCAGCCGAAAAAGCCTCTGATAATCAGGATTAAGTTGCGTCCAAATCATCAAATTCTAAGTCGGTCTGGAGCACTTGGGCCAGAATTGCAGCAGCCTCCAACAGGGCAACGCATGGGCAAGCCGAAGATTATTAAAAGACAAGAGGTTAAGGTCAGCTCTTTATATCTCAAGTTTGAACATATAAATACACACAGACAAAAGAAATTTATGGTAATTTGGCTTAAGTTGCATTCGATCAATTCATTCCGAAGCATTTTTGCAAAATGCAGCCTACAACAGGGCATGGCATGGGAAAACCGAAACTTATTCAAAGACATGAGGTGAAACGCTTTTGTTCTCAAGTATAAGCATGTCATTGCACGTAGACAAAAGAAATCATCGGCAATCAGGCTTCAGTTGCGTCCCAATCAATTCATTCTAAAGCACATTTGAAAAATTGCAGGCTCCAACAAGGGAAGACATGGGGAAGCCGAAGCTTATTCAAAGACATGAGGTAAAACTCTTTATTTCTCAAGTTTGAACATGTAATCTCACGTAGACAAAAGAAAGCATCGGCAATCAGGCTTCAGCTGCGTCTCAATCAATTCATTCTGAAACACCTTTGAAAAATTGCAGGCTCCAACAGGCTATTGCATGGGGAGGCCGAAGCTTATTCAAAGACAAGAGGTGAAACTCTTTAGTTCTCAAGTATAAGAATGTAATTGCACGTAGACAAAAGAAATCATCGGCAATCAGGCTTCAGCTGCATCTCAATTGATTCATTCTGAAACACCTTTGAAAAACTGCAGGCTCCAACAAGGCATGGCATGGGGAAGCCGAATCTTATTCAAAGAGATGAGGTAAAACTCTTTATTTCTCAAGTATAAGCATGTAATTGGGCATATACAAAAGAAATCATCTTACAATCAAGCTTTAGCTGCAATCTCAATCTATTTATTCTGAAGCACTTTTCAAAAATTGCAGCTTCCTACAGGGCGTGGTATGGGGAAGCTGAAGCTTTTTCAAAGACATGAGGTGAAACTCTTTATCTCTCAAATATAAGCGCGTAATTGCATATAGACAAAATAAATATCTTGTAATTGGACTTAAGTTGTGTCCCAATATATTCACTTTGAAACACCTTTGTAAACATTATAGCTTCCTACACAGCTTGGCATGGGGAAGCCCAAGCTTATTCAAGGACATGAGGTGAAGCTCTTTATCTCTCGATGATAAGGATGTAAACGCACATAGTCCAAAGGAAAAAAAAAAAAAAAATTCTAATAGTTAGGCTTAAGTTGTTTCCAATCATTGTATTCATTCTAAAGCACATTTGCAGAATTTGCAGCCTCCAACCGGACAACGCATGGGAAAGCCGATAATTGTTCAAAAACATGAGGTAAACTTATATAATTCTCTCAAGTATAAGCATGTAAATGCACACAGGCACGATCTTTCGTTTTCTTTTTCATTTTGCATAGTGTGAAATTTTGGAACTTGGACACTTTCTGAGTTGTTTTCATTTGTGGTGGGTGCCAGCTTAAACGCCCTAGGCCTTCAATTGTTGATGAAGAGTATATCGAGTCTCAAATGAACTCAATTCTTCAAAAATTAGCTAGGTAAGACCTTTTGATTTTCATATTATCAATTTTTTTTTCCATTTTACATGGTTAAATGTTATTTTCCTATAATATTTTATTCAAAAAACACATATTTTCATGGCTGAATTATATATGGTTTATGCCAGAAATAGCTATATGAAAGCTGTTTACAACGATGGAGATATCGAATGCATGGTCTCCAGTTTTGAAGATATCCAGAAGGAGGAGGGGAGAAGGTATGGTAGTTTGCTTAATTCCAAATGTTTTCTGCCTTTTGTTTGCATTTGCTGAGATGTGTAATCTCATAAATTTTTGAATACTTTGTATTTACAGTGCAAAAATTGGCAGGAAGGAGGCTAAATTCGAGTGACTTTGAATTGAAGAAGAATTCTGTGAGAAAGTTTGTAGCAGTGAAGACCCCCCCATACAAAAAAAAAAAAAAAAACAGAGAGAAAAAGGAAAGAGAGATTCTAAAGAAAAAGAAAAAGAAAAATGAGTGTATTGGGTGTATTTGGGATTTGGGAAGTGAGTTTTTAGATACTTATGGAATTATTGTGAACATAATGCTAGAAAAAGGAAAATATTTTTAAAGTGAAATATTGTAGATTCTGCGAATTATAGAGAACACTGTTATTCATAGTATAACTTTTGAAAACCAAGATTTGTAAGGGACATACTTGTACATTTATAATATTAATTTTTCGAGGTTGTTAATGTCAATATCGTAACTATAATCAAGTCAATTCAAATTTTTGTTTAAATAATATAAAAAAAAAAATTAGAATGTACCGGTTATACTTATAAAATTATAAATTATTACTTTAATATATTAAGAGTTTTATAAAGTACGTCTTTATCGAACTCGTATATAAATTAATACAATTTATGAGATAATGATACTCGGACAACTTATTTATAAAAAAATTATATAAAAATAAATAAATATAACTAATTCATACTTGTATGTACAACTGAGACATCCATAACTATTACTCTTTTTTCTACCACTGCGTATTTTCATTTTTCAAATACTAATAATAACTTAATTTTTAAAAATCACCAACAGATATTTTTAAAAAAAAAATAGTTTCTATTAATCTAATAAAAAAACCCTTGTGATATGATAATTTAGACATTGTTAACATTTGAGTTGCTGTAAGTGCAGATCTTTTTGTCTCTATATTTTACTTGATCATCAACTATGTTCTTGATTGATACCATAGAAGTCGACACAGCTTGATTCTTCTCCCTCAATTTTGTATCACCATTCTTGTTTGCATCCTTATATATCATGTATAATATCATCTGAGCAATTCCAAACATGAATCCCAACACATTTGGTAGCTGAAAACACGATAAATATTATATATATAAAATATATATACACACACACCCACATATTTATGTAGGTAGTTGTATGAAATCATAGTACTCACTGCAACGAAGTATTCCTTAACAAAAAGTCCATAAAAGAACTACATTGTAGCAAAGAGAGTTAGGAAGAAAGACAAAAGGAAAGACATGTATTCAACACTCTTGGTCCGTAGCACCGGTCTCTGCAATATCACCAACACATTTAATTATAAACCCATTTAAAAATTTTGAACAAAATATTCGTACTATTAAAACATAAATAGTTGATTGAATAATTTTTTTATCAATTTAATCTTTTGACCATAATAGATTCACTCTACTATTTAATAAACTATGAGAATAAAAGAATTAGTATTTAATTTCTAATACACAATTTTTATTAAAATTTAATTTTATGTAAAATTTAGTATCGTGCGTTATTTATATTTTAATTTTTGTGAAATTATGTATAAAAAATACGTTACAGTATAAATAATGTATTAGATGACATTATTATCTATTTAAGTTTTATAGATAATTAGTAAACTAATTTAAACATGAATATGATATAAATATTATATATAGGTTAGTAGGGAAGGGAAATGCTCTTCACACTGGGGCCGAGAACACCATGAATGACACAATATTACCTGTGCAAAACAAGAAATTAGCAGACCAGAGAAATTAATATATATAGATTAAGAACACAAAATTATCCAAGAAAAAATATGAAGCTCTGTAGTTTGTACCCAAGAGACCAAATACAAAAGCCAGTTGATCAAGCGTCAAGAATGCCATTTTAATGGAGGAAATTTTCTGCAACTTAGGTATAAGGGCTTCTTTTTCTGGGTTTGATCGGTGAAGCTCTTCAAAATTCATGGTTGCTGGGGATACTATGAAGAATCCCAGTTGGTTCATTAATACAGGAGTGGCAGCTGGGAAGATGAGTTAGGGAACATTTCTTATTGGACATACCTTGAAACTTTTCAAGACCCAAATTAAGGAACCCAACACAATAAAACCTAAAGCTTAGCCGTTTTAATCAATTACCACAAAATAATATCCAAAAGCCCAGCAAAAAAAACCAGAGGAAGAGCCCGACCCATCTTCTTCAAACATCCAAACGACATCGTTTTAATACAACCGCAGAAAACGACATCGTTTTTATTATTGTTACCCTATAAATACCCAACACTTCGTCTTCCCCGCGCCACTTCATCCTCTGCGTAATATCATCCGATTTTCTCGACTCTCTGCCGCTTCCATTCTCATCTTTTCGTACCTTTTGCGCCAGTAATATCCTCCGAGAATCTGTTAAAACAAAAATGAGGAAGAAAAATCTGTAAGTGATTTCATCCCTTTGGACTTCTTTTTCCAGTTATTATTTTCTTGGAGTCGAAGGAGAACAGCGGAGGAGAATGTCTTCTTCAATTTCTCTTCTTTCACGTTCTGCAACATTCTCACCTCTGAAACGGGGTCGTGGGACTCACCAGAGAGTCGGACCCAGTTTAAGTCTCGGACCAAGAATCGGTCACGGCTTGGCTTTCTTCTTCTCTGCCGATAACCAGGCTCTCGGCAGCCCGGGTCAATTTCTCCCAGTTGACCAAGAACGAGAGAGAATCACCGATCAAGATTTCTGATTTCGACCGGCCTTCGGAAGGATTCAATCTGAAATCCGGGAATTTCGCCAGTTTTTGTAGTCGAACGATATGGGAATCTTGATTCTGTTCTTGAGTAGCTCGAGGTTGGAGAATCCGAAAGACATGATTCTCGCTGTTGATATTTACGTCTCTCCTTTTCTAAGGAGACCATGGACGTGGGGTTTCATACAAGGTTCCTTGCCTTACGATTTTTTCTTCTCCCTTCTGCGATTTATTTTCTTAAGAAGAAACATTGAGTCTTTTTTTCATGAGAAGAAGATTAGTTTTATTTAATTTGATTTAACGTTTATAACGTCTTTTTCCTGCAAGAACTTCCAAAGAGTTCTTGATTTTCTATTCCTTTATGATTTATGCCCTAAAGTAGTAATAGTTTCAAGCTTCCGATTGCCCTAATATCTAATCTGTTATGCCTTTATCTTTACAGCAGCTCTGGTTCATTCTTCATATCTGACTCCTCCCAACCTGCCGCCGTTAAAAGACTAATCAGAGAAAGAACACTGAGGCAGCGGCCGTTGGCAACCAAGGCTGTAAAGCCCACCATTACTGTGAGTATTATCATCTCACTCCCGAGTGTATGTTCGTTTGTATCGTAAGACAGTTTTCAATTTACAATTTCCATTTTTGCTTAAGGTTATTGGGTCTAGTTTAGCATTAAAATAATCATATTTTAATTGCCCCATCCAGGACAAAACTCCATCAGTTAGTGTTCTTGATCGAAAAATGAAATGTCAAATGATTAGAGAATCTCGGGACTATTCTTTCCTGTTCGGCCCGGATTCTGAACTTCCTGCACCACCTGCAAAAAGGCCTAAACTTGGTAAAGTTCGCTGCCAATTCAGTTAATTTGTGACTCTTTATATATAAGAATGCATCTGCTTTACTGTTCTTACGGTTTGTTCTCTAACAGCTTAAAATACTTTCTTTTTGATACTTCATTCAGGTGATAATTTGTCTAAACAAGTACATACAAGCATTGAGCCCAAGTACATACACGCCATAAAAGATTCTGGTGTACACGATACTTTCAAGAAGAACTCAGCACCAAAGAATCAACCACCGTCGTTGAAAGATCTTCATGGCTCTCACAGGCACAAACCATCCATCCAAAGGCCAGCAGTTGCAAATAAGAATTTGGGACAAGAAGAATTTTATGGTGAATCGAATAAATCGAAAGCAATGGAAAATCAGTTGCAACAAGCAGTTGCAAATAAGAATTTTGGACAAGAAGAAGTTTATGCTGAATTGAATAAACTGAAAGCAGTGCAAAATCAATTGCAGTCATCTTCAAGACACCATGCTCCAGATGAAAAGAAAGCTTCTTTGTCATACTCACAACCTGGAGCGGAGCCTCAACTGGAGCAGCCGAAAAAGCCTCTGATAATCAGGATTAAGTTGCGTCCAAATCATCAAATTCTAAGTCGGTCTGGAGCACTTGGGCCAGAATTGCAGCAGCCTCCAACAGGGCAACGCATGGGCAAGCCGAAGATTATTAAAAGACAAGAGGTTAAGGTCAGCTCTTTATATCTCAAGTTTGAACATATAAATACACACAGACAAAAGAAATCAGTGGTAATTTGGCTTAAGTTGCATTCGATCAATTCATTCCAAAGCATTTTTGCAAAAATTGCAGCCTACAACAGGGCATGGCGTGGGAAAACCGAAACTTATTCAAAGACATGAGGTGAAACGCTTTTGTTCTCAAGTATAAGCATGTCATTGCACGTAGACAAATGAAATCATCGGCAATCAGGCTTCAGTTGCGTCCCAATCAATTCATTCTAAAGCACGTTTGAAAAATTGCAGGCTCCAACAAGGCAAGGCATGGGGAAGCCGAAGCTTATTCAAAGACATGCGGTAAAACTCTTTAGTTGTCTGGTATAAGCATGTAATTGCACGTAGATAAAAGAAAGCATCGGCAATCAGACTTCAGCTGCATTTCAATCAATTCTTTCTGAAGCAACTTTGAAAAATTGCAGGCTCCAACAGGGCAAGATATTGGGAAGCCGAAGCTTATTCAAGGACATGAGGTGAAATTCTTTATTTCTCAAGTATAAGCATGTAATTGGACATACAGAAAAGAAATCATCGGCAATCAAACTTAAGCTGTGTCTCCATCAGTTCATTCTGAAACACCTTTGAAAAATTGCAGGCTTCAACAGGGCATGACATGGGGAAGCTGAAGCTTATTCAAAGACATGAGGTGAAACTCTTTGTTTTTCAAGTATTAAGCATGTAATTGCACATAGACAAAAGAAATCATCGGCAATCAAACTTTAACTGCGTCCCAATCTATTTATTCTGAAGCACGTTTGCAAAAATTGCAGTCTCCTATAGGGCATGGTTTGGGGAAGCCGAAACTTATTCAAATACATGAGGTAGAACT